AAAGAAGGACAAGCAATCATATCGAGAATCTAGCTCAAATATTCTCATAGCTCGTGGAAGGACTTCTAATTGGAAAAAGAGCGAGTGCGGAAAGTCCCAATTAAAGCCAAAAGGTAGAACAGATGATTGGAGAAAGCTTGAAAAAATGAGTGTGCATAGGAGAAAACTTGAAAAAATGAGTGTGCATATTGTCGAAAGAAAAGCCATTGGAAGAAAGATTGTCTAATCCTAAAAGAGAAGGGATCGAAGTCCAACATGGTTAGAGATGATGACACCGAAACAGATAATGCCTTGACGATCTCCCTATAAGCTAGGCATATCATTGAATGGATCCTTGATTTTGGATGCTCCTATTATATGTGTCCCCATAGAGAGATGTTCTTGGACTTTGAAGAGTTCAATAGTAGAGCTGTCTATATGAGCAATGATAGTACTTGTAAGATGATGGGAATCGGCTCAGTACAAATCAGGATGTTTGATGGGGTTGTACAAAAACTCAATGATGTGAGAGATGTCCCTGACTTAAGAAAAAATTGATTTCCCTTGGTGTTTTGGATGTGAATGGTTGTCGTATCACTTTGAAAAGAGGTAATTTGAAAGTAGCTCGTGAAGCTTTTGTGGCAAGATCGAAAGAACAAGATATAACGAAACTATGGCACATGCGACTCGAGTATGCTAGTGAGAAGGTGCTTCACACATTGGTGAACAAGGGCATTCTTAAGGGTGCAACAACCGATAAGATTGACTTTTGTGAATATTGTGTATTTGGTAAACAAAAAAATGTGAAATTTGGTACTTCTATACACCAAACAAAGAGAATCTTGGAATATGTTCACACCGATGAATGGGGTCCCACAAAGAATATTTCATTGAGAGGAAAGAGGTGGTTTGTCAATTTTATGAATGAGAGTTTGGATGTATCCCATGAGACACAAGAATGAGGTTCTCCAAATCTTCTTGGAAGAACATGGTAGAGAATCAGATAGACAAGAAAATCAAAAAGCTGAGATCAGATAATGGTGGAGAATATATACTTACGACCCATTCCTTAAAGTATGCCGAGTTGAAGGGATCGTTAGACGCTTCACTATCCTTGGTAAGTCACAACAAAATGAAGTTGTTGAGAGGATGAACCAAATATTGATAGAAAAAGTTCAATGCATATTGTCTCAAACAGGATTAAGTAAGGCATCCTTGGCTGAGGCTCTCAGTTATGCAAGTCACTTAGTGAATCTTGAACTTGAATGTTGGCGTTCAACATTGCAGTCTACCGCTGCATTGTCTACCACTAAAGCAGAGTATATGACAGTCACTAAAGCTTTTAAAGAAGTTATTTGGACGCATGGATTAGTTAATGACTTGGATATTGCTCAAAAACACGTAGATGTGTTTTGTGATAGCCAGAGTGATATTTGTATGTCGAAGAACCAAGTCTATCATGCTCGTATTAAGCATATCGATATCCGATTTCATTTTATTCGAGAAATTATCAATGAAGGAAATATTTGTTTATTGAAAATTTGAACTGCTGATAATCCTACGGATATGTTGGCAAATATGATTGCTCAAAGTTTTGACATTACTTAGATCAGATCAATATGAAATAAACCAAATTAGTTATATGCTTGAGAATCTTCTGACAAGGTGGAGATTGATGTAAGTTGTCATGAAGATGAATGGGTTCATGCATCTCCATGTATTGACATTTATATGGTTCCTAACTCTCATTTATTTGGTTCATAATCTTTTTTTGTTCCTAACTTACATTTATTTGGTTCATCTTCCATTTTGATACATAAATATCTTCATTCATGTATGGCATTAATGCTTCTATGCCTATATAAAGGGTTGTCTAGGATGGTTGAGATGCATAGACTTTGATTGAGTTTGAGCGTTATCTTATATTTGTATAATGACATTTGGGAGAAACTTTGGCAAGAGACTTTGTAGTGCGAAAGTGTGAGATATACAATTTGTAAACAGTTTGATTATTGAGATCGGTTGCACCGTGAATGGAGGAGAATTTCTTCTCTTCCAACCACGTAAAATATTTATGTCTCTTCGTTTAATCTTTGTTTATAGATGTGTGAGTGTGATCAATCTTAGTTTCGATTCCGTTAAAACATACGATTGATGGACACTATCAAACTTGCATATATACTTAAAAGCTTGCACATATTAAAAATCCTTTAAAATTAAAAATATATTAATTTAAATATGAAACAAGTGATTGGATTGTTCTAAACAATTTAATGAATAAACAATTTAATGAATAATCGTTACCTTCTATTTAATTATAACAAAAAGATGTATTGGATTGTTCTGTTGCTGAAGTAACGTAATACCTTAGTAATCATATGGGCATCATGTGCCATTCAAAAAGTTGGCTACTATACATTATTGTACTAAAAGCCTATTGGAACATTGAGCCCACACAATAATACACTCTCCATTCTCAATGTTCTATGCTCTCAAACGAACCTTACAAATACTTTCGGGTTAAATTATAAAAAGTATCATTCATTCTCTTTAAAAATTGTAATATTATTGTTGACTTTTCATACCCATTTTAAAACAAAGTCTAATTGAGATGTAAAGTAGTATATCGGTTGTTCTCTTCGACCCTTCTATCTCCATGCTTTAGTTTTGAAATTGAGTCTAATTCTTGTATCTTGCAACTACGTAGTAACTTTTTTGAACTAGGACCACATCGCTAGTCTTTTGTTGGGGTTGAACATTTTTTATGCGTTCTTCTACAAGAAATGTGCCTTGCTTTTCAACATAACGTGACACAGTACACTTGGTACTCATTGAGGCAATTCATGTACTCGAAGAATGTCTTTATGGGCTCCAGTCATTGAGGCAAAAGGATCTTTAAAACAACCTAAAGAAATAATAATTAAAGAACTTAAAACATTAAAAGTAAAAATAAGCTATACTAGCCTAAAACTAAGAAAATAAAAATATCGCTGTCATATGCACATGCCATGGTCTCTACTTGCAATGTCGTCATCAATCGTACGGTGGTGTCTTGCCTTTACCTAGAATAGAAGTAGCACAGAGCTCGAGTATTTTAAAAAATACTTAGTAAGTGACCCCACAATGGGGTGAGAGAATGCAAACACATGCAATTCATGATCTAGAGACCTATTGTTAAAACCATCATAGGGTGACCTCCATTCGAGATAAAATTGGAGATATGTAGTACTTCCTTACACATGACCCAAACGTACGAGCATGGATCCCCAGATGGTTCGCATCCCCATGGGCCCATCATAGTCGAGCTAGCTTTCTATAGCGACGTCCTGAGGTCAGCAAACCCTCGAGTATCATGCGAGGCAAGATGGTCATCATCATCATGGTGTACGCTCCCATACTCATCATCATAAATGGAGAAGTAACCCGATGTATATGTACACAAAAAATGCATGAGGTCTCTATAGTTTTCATCTTTAAATCATCCTTACGACACAACCCTATATACTGTTCACATATTACTCTAAGTAAAATGCATGTCTTGGTCTCATACGTTCGTCATTATTAACATTAACTAGGGTTGTGTTTTAGAAAAATCACTGTCATAATGCATCCTGACATATAATACATGCACATCATCTTAATATGGAATAATGTCATATTAATTCATCTCATCATCATACATTTTACATCGTCATGTTATCATGCATCATCATACAACGTCATCATGTAATATCATCGTATAACATCATATAACATCATCATATACTATAGTCACATCATTATATAATATAAAACTTAAATGACACGTGCAAGGGTCATTGGACACGTGTCTAAAGGGAGAACTTTTCATCCACGTAGCGGAAGTATTGAGAACCGTTTTGATTTTTATTATGAATTAAAACAAAAGTAATAAATATGAGTATAAGAACTCTACCTTTCTAGAAACCCTAGCTTGCAAGACTTCTTGAAGTAATCCAACCATGCAAACGTTCTTCCACATTCCACAAGATATTCCTTACTATGACTCGAACACAAGGCGGCTTGTGGGAGCCTCTTGAACGAAAATCCTAAAGGGTTGGAGAAGAAGAAAGATTTTGAGAATTCTCTGGAGGTGTAATTTCATTCTCAAGAGAAAGTAGGAGAGATTGATGTATCTTTTTTGCTCAACTAGAATGTCCTATTTATAGAGATGAGAATATTTGTCAAATAATATATTTTGCTATTTAATATATTAGAATATAATAACTTATACAAATCATATTTAAATATTATAAGATATCTTAATATATATTTAATTAATTTCAATGATATTGAAATTAATTAAACATATATTTATTTAATGTATCAAAATATTAATTGATTTAATATTTAATTGTATCGAATACAATACAAAGAATATATTTTTCCTTTAATATATGAAATATATTAAATATTAATTTGAACCCTTCAAATTAATATTTTTTTTCATTTTTATTTAATATATCTAATATATTAATATTAATTTCAACCATTCAAATTAAATATATTTTTAATATTTATTTAATATATCTCATATATTAAATATTAATTTGACATTTTAAATTAAATTTATTTTCTCCTTTATATTTAATATATCTAATATATTAAATATCAATACGAACCCTTCAAATTTTCTTTTAAATAAATTAAACCTTTTAAGTTACTATAAGCTTGCAAGGGGATCTTATGGACCTAAAGACTCTGAGCTTCAATGATACAAAATTAATTAATCAATTTTCATTCATTAATTATTAATTATAGGTCAATCCACTATAGACCTAGAGTTGCACTCTTATGTACCATAGAACAAGTTGTGTCCATTGATATAATTATTACGAGCAAATCGATCCTTCACAAGTTGTTCATAATTACAGCTAGGTCAAAAGTCTGTTTTACCTCTATAATTACATCTTTCACCTTAAGTACCATTGATTCTCTAGTGAACAATTTGTTTATGATCCAATCATAAACTAAGTGCCTCTCTCGCAAATGAGAGGGTGGGGCCATTGTTCAAGTCTGGAAATAAGTACTTAACAGAAAACTCATCTATTTTCCTTATATAGAAAGAAGTGAATTACATCTCATCCTATTATATTCCAACTCCCTATTTGGTCAAGTCCCCAAGATAATAGGCATATTGAATTGGTTATAAGAGTCATTCTCACCCATGTAAATTAAAGGACAAATCCTCACAGGTAGGAGTTCATAACTCACTTAGGATTAAGATCGAGTCGCATATGATCCTCATGTGAAAGATTAATCCTCTCAAATAACGGATTTATAAAGAGAGATTAAATATTTCTTGGTCCAGTCTTATACAAACTCATTGTATAGGATACCCCCACTTACATGTTTCCACATGAACGATTTGGATCAAATCATTTGTAACAATTACAAAGTGGATCGTATCTATAGTGTTACCAGGATAAGACACTCAACCTTATCCATATACTATAAACTTTTTAGGTTATTACTTGAACATGATTCTCTTGTATGTCAACCACATATTGTTCAAGATACATTAATAACCTTGGATTTTCTTACCATGGATAAAAATTAAATTACAAATAAAATAATAAAAGTTATTGTTAAAAACTAAATAATTAATTACGAGGCTGGGCATAAATCCCAACAGAGTTGTCATACATAAAGCAAGTCTTTTAACTGACTTGATAGTAGCACCACTTACTTGGTTGGCCTTAGCCGACGTTTTTCCTAACTCGAGTACGTTTGAATTCGTCCCTCGAAGTTGTTCCAAGTATCATTGAGAGTTTTTTCCTATTAGAACGTTATCTCATTTCCTCAACAATTCATATTTCTAACTTAATTCAACCACTTAAAAATAGGACATTATATAGACCTCAATTTGCTTAATTAATGTCCAATTCAACTAAAGGGTAAAAAATAAAAAGGTCAACGTCAAAAATATCAAACCGAGCCGAATATGCCGTTTGTAAGTTGAGAGACTATGCGAAACCAAGCCAAGCGCTGGAGTTGAAGGAGTCGGCGTCTGCAGCAGTGACACGTGTCGCTAGAGGAAGTTGTCAAACTCTCTATTACCGGAGAGTGCTTGCCCAACAAGAAAGGGTCCTAGGAGGTGTGTAAACCAATTGGTGGGTCCATACTTGCACGTGTAGACCATGTGTAAAACAGTAAATACACATTCAATTAGTCCGTTTAGGATAGCCGCCTAAGAAATATAGACGAATATGATAGGTCCCACCAATGATTGTGTGTGTTTGCTTCCAACCCTAATAGTGGGATCACTTACTAAGTATTTCTTAAAATACACCAGCCACCCACGTGCTACTTCTATTTCAGGTAAAGCAAGGCATTCATGTATGGCTGACGATGACATCGCAATTCAAGACCATGACACATACATAGGGTAGTGGCACTTATTTTCTTAGACTTACACTAGAATATGATGTTTCTAATTTAAGTGTATTTATTTCATTTAGTTTATTGTTGTGTCGTTTTAAAGATATTTTCAAACACGTAAGTTCATGACTATGTTTTAAGATGAAGTTTTTGGTTTATGAAGGAGTTTAAACGCTTATTTTCACATAAAAATGATTATGCTATGATAGCAGTGACGACTCTAGACAAGTAGAAATTTAGGGTTATTACATTCCCATACTAGTTTGGTACGAGCCCAAGCAACTTCCAACGTCTAGGTGAGTATTGGATCAGAGTAATAGAGAGTGACAACGATAATTGCATACCTTCACGAAGGATGAAACTCTTTATTCATATCTTTTAACCATCTACATAGGTATCAATATTATACATTTAGTTGGTCGAAATCATGGAAAGTGACTCTGAATCCTTCGCCCGACCGTGGCTAGCTCGGGAAGTTCCTTCACTTACTAATTAGTCGTCTACCGTCCTCGACCCCGCACGAATGAGCTCGTTCTCTAACCCTTTTGGGATACTCTCTTGGTGGGCCTGTGGACTTGAAAGACTGTGAGCTTTGGCCCTAGATGTTAGGGGAGGAGCAAAAGAAAGTTAGAAAGATAAAAGAAAGATATCTAGAGATTGTGACATGGTTCATGTTGCCTAAACTATTTGCCATTTTTATTGAAAAAAAAAACTAGAAAATTTGTCTACTTTTGACAAGATTGATGCTCGTGTTTTGTAAAGTTCAACTCCCATCACCTCGGAAGCAATTTTTTATATTTCCTCCCCACTTTTTAAAATCATGGAAAGACTTTTTTTTTTTTCTTTTTTTTTTTTCATATTTTTTTTAAAATCATAAGAAGACCCTTGCACTTTTCAAAAAATTCCCACAAAAATAGAAAATTTCCTTAAAAATACTTTTAACTAATAATATTAAATTGTATTAACATATATTTAGAGATATTTTACGTTAATTTTAATTATTTACAAAACCATAAAAGAGCACCACATTTAGAGCAAAATAGGACAGCGTGACTAAGTCCCAGAGGACACAGAAGAATATTAGAGATGTAAGGGATCGAATCTACTTGTGGTGTTACAATGGTATTAGAGCGAAATCCTTGTCATATGATATGGTTCAAGAACGAGCTTATGTTGGATGACCTCGTGTAAATTTTTTTAGGAAGCATGTGAGAGAAGACAAAGCTGGAAGAATCATATTAGTTCGTGAACATAATTTTCACTCCAAAAATAGTTCGAGGGTTATGGAGGGCGACCAGATTATAGAAGAATTTTAGAATCATTAAGTGCTAAATCAAAATCTTAAATCCTCGATCTACAACATTATCAACATCATATTTTCGAGAAATATATTTCCTAGTTTAAGCAAAAACTCATTTTTCCTTTACACTTTGGTTTAATTTTTATAAAAATAATAAAGTACATTTTTCTCATGGGTCGGTGGAGTAATAGAAATATAATGTTTTTCGTACAACTATAAAAACAGTCAATATTTGATATTTCAAGAGATTATTTAATTATTAATCCGACAATGGTCTTGATTAGCCACATTTAAAATTATAAATTATCCAAAATTAATATTAAATCAAATATTTTATAAATGAAAATATAAATTAATATGCAATTCCTAAAAGCAATGCAACTTTACGAGATCCAATGACCTTTGTACTAAAAAAAATATTCCTTTGAAAATTATTTTTTTTTTTTTTTAATTGTTTCCACGAAGCTAGGCTGGAAGAATAATTCTATTATAATGAAATCTTTTAGGTAGATATACTTTGATGGAAAATTTTGATAAAGATATAATGATACGAAATAAAGCACTTTAGTCTTGTCACAAAAATTTAGAGGTGGATGACGAGATTATAACCTAATTATTATAAGATGACAACAAAATAGAATATTAATTCACGAATTTAGAGATGTTTCATTGTTTAAAGCTTTAAGTTACAATTTAGCTCGAGAACGTAACGGTATTAATGGACATGAGAATTACAACTTTTCAATTGACTATTGGTTACTCTATGATTCATTTTCAATGGTATAAATGGTCAATTATGTTGTTGTTTTACCATGAAAATGTTCCGACATTTTGAATATTTGAATGAAAGTGGCGTATCATGCTTTTTAAGCCATGAGCTTATTGATTTACATTTTTTGTGTCTTGATTTGCACGTTGAAGTCATTCGAGTAAAATTAATCAAGCTATCTTGTTGATTGATTTGAAACTTGAGGTTAAAAATTAAGTTTTTTTTACTCTTGATATTGATCATCAAAATAAATTTGTTCTATCTTCATTCTTGAGTTGAAATCATCTCGATTTAAGAATTTATTCACTTTCAAGTTAAGTGGAGATCTCGATGAAATCATTTCGATTTGGGAAGAAAGTTTGTGGAAGATGCGGGCGGACTCGTGAGGAACCATGGGCAGTAAATAAAACTTGTTTCAACTGTGGCAAAAGTAATCATCTAGCCAGAATGTGCCGAAGTGCAAGGAATCCAAATGTGACGTGTCCTAAGAGGCCACTCCAGGAAGTGGTGGTGGTCAGATAGGTGCTGATGATCAAACTCAGGCTCAAGGTAAAGCCTACGCCACGACGAGCAGAGTAGTGGAGGATGCTAGTACTGTGGTGACATGTATTTTACCTATATGTGGCTACTATGCTTACACTATGTTATGATGTTATACTATGTTATGATGTTATCTTGGGTATGGATTGACTATCTACTCATCATGTCAGTATTGATTATTACAAGAAAGAAAAGTATTTCAACCTCGAATGGGAAAGAGCTTTCAGTTTCAGGGTACAAAGCCAGGTAGTATTCTCAAGACTATAACTTCTTTAAAAGCCAAGAAGTTGATTAGTCATGGTGCTTTGGGGTTCCTGTTAGTGTTGTACACGTGAAACGAGTTAATACGGATGTATTAGCTTTGCCTGTGGTAAATGAATTCTTGGATGTCTTCCATGCTGAATTACCTGGTTTGCCACCAAAGCGAGAAGTCAATTTTGGTATTGAATTGGAACCATAAATGACACCTAGTTCTAAAGCTCCTTAAAGATTGACTCCCGTAAAATTAAAGGAATTGAAGCTGCAACTGCAATGTTGCAGTTGAGGTTCATATGACCTAATGTGTCGCCATGAGAAGCTCCAGTACTGTTTGTGAAGAAGAAAGATGATATGTTACATCTCTATATTGATTATACATATTTGAATAAATTAACGGTTAAAAATAAATATTTGTTGCCACATATGGGTAATTTGTTTGATTGGCTTCAAGTTGCAGCAGTATTTTCAAAGATTGATCTTCGTTTAGGATATCACCGGATAAGAGTCAAAGAGGAGGACTTACCATAGACAACTTTTCGAACTCGTTATGGATACTATGAGTTTGTTGTGGTGACCTTTGGTTTGACTAATGCCCCTGCTATATTTATGGAGATGATTGATTCGAGTATTTCAGAATTTCCTAGATTCCTTTGTAATTGTATTTATTGATGATATATTGGGTTACTCTAAGTGGATGATGAGCATGATGAACATTTGAGGAGGATCATGCTAGTGCTACGAGAATATAAACTATTTGCCAAATTCTCTAAATGTGAATTTTGACTTCAAAATTTGGTATTCTTTGGTCATGTGGTATCCAAGGATGACATTGCTTGTGAACTTATAAACTTGACTTACTTATGAAACAACTATAGGAGAATTGGTAGTAGTTGTCAAATAATGGAACAAGTTTCGTGGCTGTGGACCAAATGTTATGATTTAATTAGGAAGATTCTTAGCGGTTCTTAACTTGAGGAGAAAGTTGAGGAAGCAAGTTAGTATTTTCTCCGCTATAAATACTCATGAGATGTATGTTTTTTTCATAACAACAAAGAGTATTGAAAAGTGAAGTGCTTAAGGTTCCTTTTCCAAAAAATCTCTCCCTTCAAATTGTTCTTTTTGCTCCCTTTATTTTTTTTGACATATTTCAATCGTGAGTCATTTTCAATATTTGGTATCAGAACTCCTAAG